GATTTCTTCACATTTCAGCTTACTGATAGACTTGGAAAGAAATTCTTTTAGAAGGAGGGATTAGATTAAGTCGAAATTGAATTGCCCTCTTTCAGGATGTACAAATATCAGATGTTGACCTTGTTACGGCAGCCCAAATCAAACTATCCTCCTTGACCAATGATTTCATTTTCATGTTTAATGGTAGGAGTGCATTTGCTGGTAGAAGTCAATTTAATTTGATATTAAATTGTAATTTACAAATGTTTGTAGTATCTATTTGTGTTGCAGCGTCTTTGGCAATTTTGAATTAAGATGAATGAGAGGTGATATGAAATAGGAAGGCAAGAATTCTCAGGTAAACTCTGGGATGAAAGGGTTTAAATCATTCGTATTAATTCAGTAATGGTAGCTCAAATGTACACTGAATTGTCAATAAACCATACGGAATTTTGGTGTAAGCCTACATGGACATTGTTAGGTTTATTTAAACTACGTATTTATGGACTTCGACTGCTATTTAGTTGTAGCCAAAATGTACTCAGCCAGGTATTAGATCAACATTTGATGTTTTATTGACTTTAATTCCCCAATATTTTGAGAATTTATCGAGGCAAATATGGGAGCAAATTGATCCCTCTTTCTTTTTTCTCTCCTCTCTCTCTGCCTCTTTCTCTCTGTCTTTCTGTTCATGAAACAGAAATATTGAAAACATTCAACAAAGATTAAATGTAAATTTATAGGGATGCCAAACCTTGGTAATTGTCAGTAAATATGTTATGTGCCCATGTTTTTTTGGAATGCATGCTACTTCGGTTTAGGTATCACACGTATGTGAATATTTTCACAGCGCCTACACTGAAGCACATACAGGGGCCTCACTTGTCCATTTAACCATTAAACAAACAGGATCATTGTGTGTGACACAGTAGCATCTCGCTTTGTCCCCCTGCGTCTTCCAATGGCACAATTAACCACGATGAAAAGACGGCATTTCTCCAAACAGGTTCTCTTTTCTAGTCCCATCCACATCGAATTTGATCTGGAGTAACAGTCGCTCAATGGCATGCCTAAACACTACCCGAATGGATAGCAAAACAGTGAAACCGTCGAAGGAAAACACGACACCATTCACCCTACTAATCATTTCATGTTCGGGATTGAATCGGTTAGAATGAGAGGTTAATACGCTCCATTAAGTCACAGCTTATTATGCATTGTGGCCATATTGCTATATCCCTCCTTAAATCTTGATCAAATGAGGTAGATTTCAAGGCCGCAATTGACCTGTGGTGTTATGAATAGTTATAACGGCTTCCTATTTCAGGGAGGGTATGTTACACGCCCATGGTTTGTTTTGAGTCGAGGGAAACGTTCTGCTTGTGAAAGAACCTGCGTGATGTATTATAAATATATGTAAACAGTGCAATATTGGAACGTGAGAAAAGGAGGCTTAAGTTGGTCTTTTTCTGTTATTATATTATTATTGTGCTCTATGGTACATACCCCCCTCCTTTTATAGATTAAATGGACTAAATGCTAGCACTGTCATTGACCCGTAGTAATAAGAATGATGTCATCCAACTAAATACAGTTTGTTGCTTGCTAAAGGATATGGCATGATAATAATTACATGCTTAAAAAACTCTTGTAATATTATACTGATATGTAAAGTTTGGACCTTAGAAACTTTTTTCGTTAGTCATGATGGAGTCAGTAAAAATAAAATACTTCAATGCTTTTTCAATCTCTTTCCAACTTACTGCTGTTTCACAATATAGATCGAGTTGGAAGATATATAGTGATACCATTTTGTTTGAGGCAATTTGATTGACCAGCACAAGTTTAAGCTGAAAATGTTCAACTTCAGAGATGCAGGTGCGCAGTGAAGCATGCTAATAAATACAATATCATATCAAATGGGGCATCACTGTAGAATAAATAGGTTAAAGCAATTTGTTACCAAATGGACTGAAATGTATATGTATGAGAGAGAGAGAGAGAGAGAGAGAGAGAGAGAGAGAGAGAGAGAGAGAGAGATCAAGGTTAACAAATCTGTGCTTGAAACACCACTATTATTTTTTTATCAGTTATGCATGTGACAATTCAAACCCATAATATCCATGCATTTATTCCAGACAAAAAAAAACCCTGCAGTACTTGGAAGTCCATGATGTATAAATAAAGTTATAGCTTTTTTTTGATAAAATTTTAATTACAATTGTCCCAGTTTGCTCACAGCCGCGTCTGTTGTGTACTGGTATGTTCATTCGCCAAAACCAGAAGAAGCAAAAGGCAGAATAGTAGCCAAGGGGAATAAGCATGCTGGTTGATTATTGATAACAATATTACTTGCATTATAAGAATCCTATTCATGTAGCTTAGAGTTTTTTTTTTTATTTTCTGTGAAATTTCAAAGGGACTCGTGGTTGAATATTGATGTTATTTGGCCTTATGCAGATGGTCATATGCCTGAGTGGTTTTGGGGTTCTTTTTGAAGCTCTTAATTCTGTTATTTGATTTTCTGTCAGAGTGTGTCATAAAAATAATGGTCTTCATCTTGAAGAGCTACTCTACTCTTCTTGTTTTTCCAACCAAGTCTTTGGTCTGTGTTCAAACTTTGAATTGATCCATTTCCTCTTGTTCAGCTGAAAATAAAGTGGAGAAATTTTACCTAAATATTTCCACAATCATTGAAATATTTTCAAATGGGTCAAGCCTCAGATTCTGTTACTAGATATATATACAGTATGAAAATGATTTTCAAATAACCTTATGATTGAAGGAACATATTCTCAGCCCTGTGAAAGATACTGGAGTTCAACTAATGCAGCGTGTGACCCCACACAAAGTAGAAGCTACATACTGGTAATGTTGCATGATACTACACCATAATGTGTAAAATTGCACAGCAATTGGCCTGCCATTGTTCCAGTAACAGTGTCATCTGATAAACCTTTAAAAAAGCTGTCTTCCCCAAGGCAAAACTACTTTCGGATAGCGTTTACTCCATTTACAACCATTTTGTGTGGTTGAGGCTCTATTGTGGTTAACACAGACATAAAAGAGGAAAATTGACTAGGGCATTTATTGGAACCACAGAGAAAGACTTAATTACAAAATTATGTGTGATATGAAAGTGTAATTTCTTGCATTTTGAGCTGCAGAATTTCTAGTAATTTGTTTTTAGGCAAGAAACTGCTCGTGAATATATTGTTAAGTCACAGGAAGTGATTTGTGGTACAAAAAAGTTATTTTTCATGTTGAATAAGAAAACTAAAATTGGAAGAAACCATATGAAGCCACTGTAAGGACATAATGATATATTAAAGTGCATCTTTTTTTAAATTTGAGCAAAACAATTTTTTTTACAGTTGAGACATATGAGGGAAAATAACAAAAGAGAGGTGAAGATTTTTTTCGTTCATATGTAGAAAAATGATGGAGATATGATCTGAAAATTGTCCAAAATTGCCTCAGTTATCACACATTGAAACGTTTCCAGCTGTTGCACGCCAATTTGTTGTCAGTTAAGTAGAAAGTGCTGTTAACACACTTGTTGTCTTACAAGTTCAGTGGGGCAATACAAGCACGGTGTATGGGCTAACAGAGGCGTGGAGACTCCCACCCAGGTACTGTCGGCACTCTAGGTGCCTAGGTGCTGAAACACGATTTCTTCTTGTATCATGCCAGATTATCGCTAGCAATTGTTTTTGCTTGGCCAAAACCCACCTTTTTATTTATTTTTTCCCAGGGATCTATTTTTTTCTCTTGGAAGATGGTCAAAAATGAATGGAGGATGGATCAACAAAGATAATTTGGAAGACTATCAGAAAATATCTCTGGATCTGCCCCTGCTCCCCTATTCACTAATGTTAGTGCCATTCATCTCAGTTCTGTCAGTTTTACTGGTAACTTGTTCCAAATTTAATGATCTTTGTTGTTTTCTCAGGGCTCTTTCACATGATTATAAGCATGATTCCACCAGATTTTTACAGGTTGTTCATAGTTTTCCCCCCATCTGACGATTTTTTCCACAAATATAACCCACTGATAAGTCCCACCATACAACCAATATATTGTGTTTTCCGATGAATGTCTACCGATGAATTACGGTGTTTTTTCATTAGTTAAGTGTTTGTTAATACTTAAACCTTTTTTGTAAAATGAAGCACTATATTAGCCCTGTCTTTATTAAGAAGCTGCTTGATTGCAATTCCCCCTCTTCATCCTATGTGCTGACATTTCAAGTCCAGTATTATATAGAGATCAACATGGCTATGAGGATTGTTACAATCATAGTGTTTAGTTAATGGTGTCAGGATTTTTATTGTTTATTTTGGTTTAATTGGTGTTTTTTTTTTTTTTAACTAATTATTTTTTTGTCACATTTAACCAGAAATGGATATAGTGTAATTAACAATGTATGCAAAATGAAACCAGACCTTGTTTCCACAGACTGTTACCATTTGGTATGCATCATTGATGTGGTACGATATTACTCTGTCCTCAGCCGAGGTTTAACTCGTGAATTATAGATTTTTACAAGTAGAGTTATGTTGATTTAATATGAAAGTAATTACAAGCCATCTATTGGCAGAATGTCTCAAAACTTTGAGTGTTTCATTTATAATCAGTTTTGTATGTCTTGCCCTTTACTTTGATGTACTTTCAATTATAGATTTGACTTAGAGTATTAAAATGTGTGGTTTCAAGTTTGTGATACGTATATAACAATGCGGGAACTTCAAAATTAAATTTCTTGGAAAATCCATGAATGTTTTATTGCATCATTAGTTGATACTTTGAAAACAACATTCCTCTGTGTTTTAAAGTGAAAATTTATGCTTTTTTTGCAACTTGAAACAGTCAAAATTTGTCCCCTGTTAATTATAATGTTGTATGATCATTAATCAATCCAAGCATTCTGAACCAATTGTGAATCACTAAATTATCTTGCAAATATTGTTGTTTATACAGGATAAAAGTTGTAAACAGTATTTATTCAAATTTCTTTGTAGGACATCATACCAAAAGTTATCCAGCCACAAGTGTCTGGCATGGTATATGGCATCGTTGGAGCATGTATCGTCGTTGTCATTTTGATAGCTCTCGCCATCTGGTGCATACGCCGCAAGACCCAGCAAGGGGAGCTGAAGGTAGAGGAAGTGGAAGAGGAAGACGAAGGTAAAGATAGTAGTGAGTTAGCTTTGCGTTGACAATGGGACCATTCCCAGACCCTATCATACTCACTGTGGATCGATCTATCTCCAAGGGGATTCCTGCTAAATTGCAATCAACTTTAGCATCTTAGGTGTCTGTCATGCCTAATGAAGCTGCTAGGGGGTAATTAATTAGTTAGTAGACATGCTAGACAACTAAGCCGTTTAAGCTAAAAGCAATTTAGCGAGAAACCTCTTGGAGATGAGTCGATACTATTAGACCGATCTAGGTATGGGAACCCAGTCAAACAATTCAGTATAGGCTCTATTTACAAGCAGTTGATCTCTGGACTAACTAGTCTGTGGATCAAATATGGCCTGCACTGGACAATGAATTCCCACCTCCCACGTGTGACATTCTAGCAGGGGCAGAGCAATGAAATCTTTCAAGTTGGCCACGCTATGTTTGATCCGCGGGATAGTTAATTGGCGTATAAGCTGGTTGTGAACACAGCCATAGTCACAGTCGTCACTATGAGCGCATTCAGAATGTTCAGCAGACTAACAGATCCGCAGATCAAACATGGCCGACCCACTTGTATGCTTTTTGCATAATCCCTGCGGGGAATCCATTCAGTGTCTAATCGGGAATTAAGCAGCAAGTTTTATAGTGGGTCGCCATATTTGATCTGCAAATCTATTAGTCCACTATTCTGAATGTGCTCTATAGTGGGTCGCCATATTTGATCTGCAAATCTATTAGTCCACTATTCTGAATGTGCTCTATCATTGTCATCATTTTGGTAATATTTATTTGTTTGATTTTGTATAAATACCATCATTAATAATGACATTTTTTTTTTGTCAATTTTTGTCAGAAAAAGAATGCATGTCTATGTATATGAAAATTCATGATGGCATGGAAAATTGACAGCACTAGTTCAATAACCTTCTCGACTGGAAAGCATCCGACGTAATTCTGCAAGATATTGTTTGCGGGTTTATCCTCTTTACTCAGGTGAACACTTGATGCTGTAATGACATGAGACAGACTGAAACATCATTTCCTGTTTTTCATCTACTACAAGTATAGATGCAGTTATTAGTGGCTAGAAGAATACAGGCAATTTGCAGCAGGGTTTCAGAACATAACCAGTATCCTGTTTTTCAAACGCTGATAAGATATTGGGTACAAAAAGCACAAGAATGAAATTAAATGAGAAAAAGAGAAAAAAGACGAAGTTGAGAAAAAATACATTTCCTTTGAATGGCCCCATTTGACATGATGGCCACTGAAAAGTTTCCAGCTCAGCAATAAGACCACCTGATCCACCTAGCCCACTCAAATTTATCCCTCTTCAGAGGCTCACTCATACTGTGACTATGTAACAAGAGTTGATGACTGAACAATTTGACCATATATGGTCAAATTGTTCAGAATAAAAATTAATAATTTGTCTTGTCTGAAAATTTATCATGTTCAAATTGTAGCATTCAAAGATAGGAAGAAGAGTCTGACAGTTTCACAAAGCATCTCGAGTCAAAAGGCTGGTCTAAACTTTAACCCCCCCCCCCCAAAAAAAAAGGTCTTTCTTATTCAGTATAATGAGCTAAATTCATAGTAATCTAACTCAATAAAGCAACTGATAGTCTGAAACAATCATGTATTTTTTGTTATAAAACATGTGCAGTGTTTCATTTATTGGACTAGTCTACAACTGATTTATCTTGGGACAAAGTAGAATAGACATATTTTGGTCTGATCTGTTAAGTCTAATTTCCAGGCTAAAACTAGTTTGGGAAACTGGCCCCATTAGTGCCATTCTTCAACTAAACAAATCTTTCAAAAAGCCACCTTAAGAGCACACATGCAATTATGACTTTTATCATGAAATTGTTGCACAAAACTAAATAGGTTTTGAGTGCGAGTGTGTGAGCTTTCTGATCAGAGGGCTGAATCCCACGTTGACGATCACGACAGTGTAATAAATCACACATTGATTGATTAGCTTCACTGTGTGTGAGAGGGGAATGTGAATTGCTTCATTTTTAGCGCCATAATGCTGGTAATTAATGGTAATGAACTGCCCGTCTGTTCCAGCAAGAAGCGAGCTGGCTGATGATTAGTTTTGGTGATTTGGAGGCGTGTTATAATGTAAACTACCTGTTATGATTGAATTTAAGGTGGCATAGCTGTACATGCACAAACACAGGCATACGCACGCACACGCACTCATGCTCACACATGCTCATTCACAAACATGCACACACACATAAACCTGCACATACACACACACACACACACACAAAGTAATGAAAGAGATAACGAAAACACACACTTGCACATTGGTTGGTCTAGCTCCTAAGCATTCACATGTACAAATGTTGGCTTTTATAGAATTTGCAGAGACAGTCCAACACAGTCCAGTCCCAGTAGAATTGATCCCCAAAGAAAGACCACTGGTCATTCAGTGTGGACACAAAGCTTTTTTGATTGAGTGGACATTAATCTTAAAATTGCTTGCAGCCAGATAAAAATTAGATGAGCTGTCGTGGATCTAGTATTAAAGATGCCTTAATTGTAAGCGGCATCCCCAAGAGATGGTTTTTAAGATCGACTTCTGCTGTAGTGATCCATATTAAAGTGAACAGTTCAGGGAGAAGTCTGGTTTAGAAATAAATGATATAAAATTGAAGATAAGTGCATGAGAAAGTAAGATTTAACCAAGCTAGCCTACACATAGGCCTACACAAATTCAGTTTATTATAAGTGAAGTTAAAAGTACAAATTCTCAACTGGTGAAATATTTCCATCAAAGAAAACCAGGGGCTTGTTTCACAAAAGAATTGAGACAAAAATTGGTCTCAACTTTAAGATATATTAATCCTATGTAATTTTACCTGTCAGTAGCTGCCTGTTGAAGTTACAACAATTGTCTGTCCTAAATGTTAGCCTTTTTTTGCCCTGTTTGATATGCAACTAGTTCCTTAAAGATTTTCAGTTTAGTAGACTACCATGGATTGATCCATAGTCAAAAGTAGACTAAAATTTTTTGTCGTAATGTCAGGTTGTTAAACTAACCCTTAGCCTGGACCTTGGAGATAAAAGAGAGATAAAGATTTATTTTATTGAAGTCTAAAAAAGATGAATGAAATCTTACAAAATTATTAACATTTTACAGATTTTCACAGATAAGCATGTGGTAGGGATGCAGACAATTCCTAGTAGATCCGAAACATTTGTGTGTAAAAAGCCGTCGAACTTGTTTAGTCACACTTAAATCACTTACAACAACCGCAATTTCGTATCTCAGACTCTAATTATCAGCTCTAAATAAAATTTTAAATATCATTGATTTGTAGGCAGAGTGCAGAGGCTTGGAGAGCACTTAAATCATTGAGAAACTGAGATTTTAGATTGAGCTTCATGAATTTTATATGTAGTGTGTTTGTGTGTTGATTTAATAGCATATACCACCTGAAGTGGGTATATGTGTGATGTCCTGCAGTTACACTAAAGGTAAAATGTTGGAGAATCGAAATAAACCAGATTTATTGAGATTGAATTAATTCTGAACATTTTTTTTTATCCATCATGTATTATATGCAAAAGATAAAACGCTACAGATGATGATGAAGCTTTAGGCATCTGAAGTAGTAAACCACTTGCTGGCGTGTGATAAAGATGTTCAAGTTGTATTGAGCAGCAGATCTCTTGTTGATTTTTAACTATAAGTTAAACTGAATTGAATTTAGAGTTAACTCTACTTTGCACCCTCCCGTTCCCATTTCAGCTTCTCTCAACTTCTATCTCTGTCTCTCTGTCTCTCTGTCTCTCTCTCTCTCTCTCTCTCTCTGTCTTGGCTTCCTTATTTCCAATAACTTCCCTATGCCTCGTCTCATCTACAAATGATTTAACAAACAAAACTGTATTCTACATTTGAAACCTGATTAGAAAGAAGATGGGTGAAGAGATCGAATGAGACAAGAAAGTTTGAGTTTTCCACAAAGGGACAAAAAGTTAAAAAATAAATTCTACCACTAACTTTAATTATGCCATATACTATTTCACAAGGAATTGTGGTTGAAGCAGAATTCAGACAGATCCAAATTATTTGTGAGAGAAAATAGAAGTTTTTGAGTTTTTTTTTCGATGGGGAGGGGACGTTGTCTCTGGACTGACACTTGAAAGAACATGCATTCACACGTGACGGATCGGGTCATGAACATAAACCACAACCCCTCGCCCGCGAATTAAAGAAATCACAACCTGTAGGTTTAATGAATAAAAGAAGATGATCAGAAGCGGTAGTTTGGAAATTTTATAGCCTCAAAACGTCTGGTGAAAAGACTGTAATGTGAGTCGCGTGGTTCTTGTGGAATTTTAGGAAGTAATGGCTTGGCCGTGAGATAGTTGTTATAACTGTTAACATATAAAAAACAAGTCAAGGGGATGCGGACTTGAAAGGTGTTCAGATTTCAAGCATTCTTAATGAAATAGGGCATAGAGATNTTTCCATGAGGTAGGCTTTTGTGCACTTAAATAATCAAAAAAATTATTTTTATTACCAAGCTCAAAACATATTTTTGCTAGATGCTAGATTTTACATGATGCTTCATACAACTTCTTCAAAATGGCCACCATTTTCAAGATGGCCACCGTTTTCAAGATGGCTACCATCATTTGTGAAAAGTGTTCGAATTTGCTCATTTTATTCCAAATCTTTACATATAAAATCAAAACCATAATGTCCATATGACTATTATGGAATGAATTATACAAAGCAGTCATTAATTTATTACATTATGGCATTTGGTTTAACTTCAGTGATATTTTAGCAGTCATTTCTTAAATATTCAAAATGACTCACTGCCATGAAATGCAAATTTCCGTAACTTGGGATTTGATTCAGCTAAATCATCAAATAAATAATTTTTGTATCCAAGCTCTCATACATATTTCAAGATGGCCACCATTTTCAAGATGGCCGCCAAATTGAGTTTTTTTCTCAAAATTGTATTACG